ACAGCATTAAAACTGACGTTACCGTTTATTCGACGTATCGCCAATTGGCGGCCATGACGGTACGTTTGAAATGAGCTCTGAACTTCAACAACGCATTTTAAACAACGCATAGACTCATTATTCACATGAAGAAAGTGTGAGAAGTGTTGCAAAAATCAATTTAGTTTCCCAATGACACCGTATGGAGTAATTTAATGCCAATAATTCATTATCAGTCCACTCTCCTCCGCGGCTATGTTCTCTGCTAGCTAGTTTTCTCTCAAACAGGTCTCTCCATGTAGTGGTCGACGAAGTTTCATCTAACTCTCTTATCATAAATGATGGTGTTCCGCAAGGAGCAATTCTAGCACCAACACTATATCTACTCCATATCAACGATTTGTTGGAAACAACTTCATGTCCGATACACAGCTTTGCGGATGATAGTCCCCTTCATACCGCCTTCTCTTCCAGGGCTCCAATACCAGCCAGGCAAATCAGAAACGAACGAGGAAGATATGTTGACAACATAAATATGGACTTGGCAACAATTCTCGAATGGGGATCCAATAACCTGGTAGATTTCAATGCGAACAAAACACAAGCATGCCTTTCCTCTAGAAAAGCCGATCTCACTGTGTCCAACATGAGCTCGTCAGCTAGGAGTAACCATACCTTTGAAGACATCCATTTCGATGCTTGGTATTACTATCAGCAATAACCTTTCTTGGGAAAATCACGTGAGATCAATTGCTAAAAGTGTATCCCAAAAACTTGGTTTTCTATCTCGGGCCAGGAGCTATTTCACTTCCAGTCAGCAGCTTATGATCTATAAGGCACAGATCCGACCTGTCCTGGAATACTGTTTCCATATTCCTTGAAACTGTTGGATTCTGTCCAAAAATGGGGAATTGGTCTCGTGGGTGATGACTCGTTCACAAACTCACTCACTTCTCTGGAACACCGTAGAGAAGTTGGCGATCTGGCTCTATTTTATAGATAGACGATGCTCTTCTGAAATATCAACAATTGTTCCTCCCTTGGCAGTCCCCGCGAGATTAACCCTTCGAGTTGAGGCATCGCACCCCTTCGTGGTCACTTTGGAGACCTGCAGAACATCTCTTTCCAAAGACTCGTTCATCCAACGAACAACGAGGCTCTGGAACACATTGCCGAGGGAGGTGTTCCCCGAGGCATATAACCTCCAGAAATTCAAGGAGAACACCAATTCCTACCGTATTTCCCTTGTTTCTCACGATGTTCTCTGAACATTACAGGATATCCCTTTTCGTGGGAAACAGAACATAAAAAGATACTCGCCCATTCTAATTTATACAGGATGGGAAGAAAGTTTTACGTACAATGGAGTCATCCTTGACAGAGGTGATAAATTTGACATGTCTCTTCCACCGTTTGATCCCTTATTTTCTTATTCATACAAGAATATAGTACACGGAAAAAAAGGAATTGTTGAATCAAGCAAAATTTAATTGAATGGAGCAAATAGAAGTGTCATTATATGCACGACAAAATATAATCTTGAAATGAGTAAATCTATATCTTGTTTCAGAGCGAATTTGAAGTTTGAATCAAGTAAATATGTCTTGCATGAACTCTGGATCTTCTTCAATCAAGCACATCCATGAATGGTTTTGAAGAGATATTAAATTGGCTTAAACAATCATTTTGTTCGTTTCTAAATAATAAGATATTGCTTCAATCAAATATTTAGTTGATTCAACGAAATATTTGGTTGATTCAATGAAATATTTGTTTGATTCAATAGAATATTTGGTTAATTCAATGAAATATTTTGTTGATTCAAGAGAAACTTTATATTCATTCGACAAATTGTTTTGTTGAACCAAATTCAAAATTCAGGAATTTTCTGAAATTTCAGACCAATAGAATAAACAAAACTAGAAAACAAGTCGACTCCTAGCATCATCAGTCTTCACTTCTCTTCAGCTGATGGAGAACTATTTAGGATTGCTAATCATCCAAAGTTCGATTCATCTTGTTGATATTTCAAACACAAAGAAACAGGCTTCACGTATATAATGAATTCGAGGCAGGCATAGACGAGACGAAATGATCGCCATCTAGAGGCAAAAATTTAAGTTGATGTAGAATGAACAAAATATTTCATTGATATTACATATTTCGTTGCTCTATTCAAGCAAATGATCCGTTCGAAACAAGTTCATTATTTCATCGAAATAAGAAAACTTGTATGTTGTTCCAAAGATATATTCTCATCAAAATGATCATCAATTGATCAAATCAACAAAATGTTTATAATTGAATCAACATCGACATTATTTTGGATCAACATAATTTGTTTTTGATAAAACCATATATTTTGTTGATGGAATTGATATTATACTGTTGATTCAATTAGACTACATTCTTGATTTGAACAAGCTGCTTCCATGAAATAATCATGTATCTGGTTGATTCAACAAAAAATTGCTCAGTTCAACAAAAATAATTCAATCACAAATATGTAAATAATTTGTTGATGCAACAAATCCTTTTTTTTTCGTGTATGCTCTATTTTAATCGATATCTTGTACCAATCTACAGATTATCGCATTTTGAAAACATACATCACAAGCGTTTCAAAGGACATAAAAACTCTATTCAATAACATCATGGTAGTTACAGTCATTGTCATATTTGACATCAAATTATGTTGACAGTATTTTATACTTTGATAACACGATGAATGAGTTCAGTAATGATGACTATGTGCATATATGTATTGACTTTCACTCACTCTATATATATAAGCCCTATCATTTACAACATGACACATGACCTTTCCGGACACCCTGTATAGAAACAATCTCTAGTTTCTGTAGTTTTCATGGAATATGGTGTGTCGTGTTTGTTGTTGGTTTCAGATATTGCTAATGCTCGAGATCACAAAAACCATGTATACACATTTATTCCGTGTTATATACGATAAAAAATGCCTCCCTGAGCAACAAGCCTAGTATTTTATTCATACCAAAGTAATTATCTGTTCTACTTTCTATAAATTTCTATTGTTTTCATAAGGTCTGTTTGGTATTCGACCCAATGGCTCGATATCCATATATAAACACCTTTCTGTTATGTTGAATAAATGGAAAAAAATCCTGTAGATACCAACCACAGGTATTGTTACTAATGCATTCAGGCTAATTGAACAGAATTATCTTCATTTTTGGTGCCATTTATAGTCTTTATGAAGTGTGTTCGATGTTTAACCCAAATATTTCGAATTCGAAAAAAAAACTATTCACACCTTTTTCTAATCACAGTCTATATTTATTTATGGAAAAAAAACTCATCTAAATACCACAGATATTGTAACAAAGACCTAAATGCTGATTGAATAGTACCTTGTTATTCTGGTACTTCCATACTCTCAATCCAAATATTCCAAATGCTCAACATATATAATCACCTTTTGTTTATTGAATTAATGAAAATAAATCTCTTCTAAATAACACAGTCGTTGTAACAGAAGCCTGTAGGTATGCTGATTGAACAGAATATTGTTTTTTGTTGTGCTTTATTTTTATGAAGTATATTTGGTGTTCGACCTAAATATTTCTAATGCTCAACAACCATATACATATTAAACAAGTAAACAAAAATGTTAAATTTATAAAAAATATCTTCAAATACCACACTTTTTCTAACAAAATTTTGCATTTTGATCAGAATATTTTTTTTTGTTATGCTGCATTTTATAGCTTTCAAGAAGTGTGATTGGTGTTTAACCCAAATATCGCTAATACCCAACAACCATATACATATGAGTAAACATCTTCCTCTGATGTCGAATTCATAAAAAATTCTCCTCCAACAAGAGCCTGTATGCTAATTGAACAGAATCTTGTTATTTGTTGTGGCTTCTGTAGCTTTTATGAAGTGTGTTTGGTATTTGACCAAAATATTCCTGCACAACAATACTATATCGAAGACTGGAACCTTTGGCACGATAATACACTACACTGTTTTACCACTAACCAAACCGATTTATTAACGCCTCGACACGTGTTTCGCTAACTATGTTAGCATCTTCAGGAGAAGATTAAAACTGTTTTAATCTTCTCCTGAAGATGCTAACATAGTTAGCGAAACACGTGTCGAGGCGTTAATAAATCGGTTTGGTTAGTGGTAAAACAGTGTAGTGCACAACAATACTGTTGAAAAAACTTCCTCCCTTCCAGAACATTCGAAAAAAATTTCTCTGAAATACTATTTTCAATTGAAAAACAATGAAAAAAATTCCTCAACCAAGTTATTGCGCCAATACAGGGTGTTTCACGAGCTTTAATTAGACGTTTCTGACAAACCAAGCAACAGATGAATCTGAAAATTTGATGGTAGGTATAAATTGACATGATCCACACGTCCACGGCGTCGCCTCTTTTTGGAGAAAGTAGCAACAACTTTGATCTTCAAATGAAACACCCTGTATTTCATTGCATTATCAGATTTCCCTGAAGAGCATCACAATTGGGAACTAGCAGGAATGATTACAGATATAGGGTGTTTGAAATCGAGATTTTTCAACTTTATGATTTTTTGTGTCGAAACTATTTATTATCGGTCAATACTGATTCAATATCTACTGATATTTAATCGGAACAGATACAGGGTGATCAGAATTCGGAATATTGAACGTCGCATCGTTTAAATATATTAGAGGTGTCGATTATGTAATTTTATATATATCATCACATTTCCAGATCCATCTGTTGCTTGATGGTTTGCCAGACACGTCTAATTATAACGCTGATCGTGAAAACCCTGTAAAATATCCGTGTCTACATGGCAACCCCCATATACAGGGTTTCTATAAATGATCGTAACATCGTTCGTGGAGATTCACACATTCGAATTTAATTTCTGACATCAATCATTATACTGTCATAGCTGATAAACTCACAATTGTCAGTTTTTCGTTAATATTGTAAAACGATTCTGTTTTCTACTTCGTGATTGTCGTGTTGAAAAGAGGGATGGCTTATTCCTCGAAGCAGAATACATTTATTGTAATGTCTTATTATCGAAATGGCACATTCATCAATGGTGGATGGAGTTACTCGGTAGTAGCCTGTAAGGATGAGTACCTGGCGAAATATTCTAATGTACAGATTCAAGAATTTTCTTTGAAAGCCCACATCAGAACAGTGATGAACAGATTCATCCAAAATGGAAACGTTAATAAAAAGAAATCAACAGGAAGGCCCCAAATATCGGAAGAAGTTGTCGAAAATCTAAGGGCGCGTGTTGAGCAAAATCCCCAAACGTCATTGAAGAGATTATCTTCACAATCTGGTGTGCCACTAAGTACATACCATAAAGTGCTCAAGGAAAGGTTGCATTTGTACCCTTACTAGACCAGTGTCCTACAGCAACTTCTGCCGATAGATATCCCACGTCCAGAGATTCACGGCTTGACTTGATATTCAAGCTACTTGACTTGACTTGACTTGAAATCAAGTCAAGTTCAAGTCAGGCGAAAGATTTTTAATGTCAAGTCAAGTCAAGTAATTATTTATCAAGTACTTGAAAAATCAAGTAGTTCTATCAAGCTACTTGATTTTCAGCAGTTTTATTGTGTATCTATACAGCGTGACTCACGGTCGATGTTATAGGTTAGACGTTTATGGAGAACGCGACGCGGGATTTTTCTGAAAATTTCGCATTCACAAAAAATTCCTGGAGTTGAAAAATCTCGATTTTTCGCACTCTATATCTCCATAAAAATAATATATAAATTCACTTTCGAATGTAGTGAAGCATGGTGATTGGAAATTTATAGAGACAAAAATTAGACTGGAACAAAAACAAATTCTAATTACTTCTATTTATCGACCACCATCAACTGATTCTGAAGAATTCGTTAGCCAATTAAAGATTTACCTAGAACAATGCAATTCAAAGTCTATAGATTACCATATCATAATTGGAGATATGAATTTAAAGTTGAACAGCGATACTGACGTAGTATCCAACTATTTAGATGTACTGGGTGAGCATAACTTTATATCAATGATAAACAAAGGAACTCGTATGGAGGGAGACACTAATAATTGCATAGATCATATCTTTATAAAGTTCGAGCATGACAATATGAAGAGTGATTGTATTTCTGGAGTATTTGACACTAAGATTACTGACCATGAAGCAACTGTAACTTGTCTTCCTCTGAAAATTAATCAAGTAGGTATGGTAAAGCAATACGAAAAAAAATTCATTAAATATGATAGGTTGATAAATGACCTCAAGACTCATGACTGGTCAACATTCTATGGTCTATCAGATGTTGAACGTATTACTGAAAGTCTCATGAACTACTTAACATATTTCATTTCAAAAAATACTCAAATCATCAGGATCAAGAAAACAGAAATTAAACGTAAGAACTGTATAACCACAGGACTTGTGAAATCTATTAATAAAAAAAATAAACTACATCATGAATATAAAAGAGACCCTGCTGATCTCAATAAAAAATCTGCATATCTCAAGTATCGCAATTATGTTAATAGACTTGTGAAAATTACAAAAAGTGATTACTACATGAGACAAATAAATATCAATAATAACAACTCAAAAAATTTGTGGAAAATAGTAAATAAAAAAGAAAAGGATGAAATCCCAATTATAAAAGAAATACTTACTGATGAAAACATACTCATAAGTGATGAAATATCTTTATCAAATGAGTTCAATAACTATTTTTCAAATGTTGGCCAGATGTACGCAGAAAAAATTATAAAACCATCAACTCCTCCTCCAACAATGCACTCTGTCGCTCAATCTTTTTATTTGATTCCGGTAAACAAAAATGAAATCGAAAACATCATCCATTCATTGAAATCAAGGAAAGCTCCCGGTATTGATAATATTAAAGCAGAAACACTTAAAATGATAGCAAACGAAATATCACAACCACTCGTACATTTATTGAATAAAATATTCGAAACTGGAGTATGCCCATCGGAATTCAAGATGTCAGTTATCACACCCGTTTTCAAAAAAGGAGAAAAAAGCAAAACTTGTAACTATCGACCAATTTCATTAATTACGACATTTTGTAAAATATTTGAGAAAGCATTAAAAACAAGGCTAAACAATTATATTGAAAAGTACAATATTATTTCTGAAAAACAATATGGTTTCAGAGAGAACATGTCAACTAACGATGCAATATCAAAATTAATTGGTGAAATTTATAAATCAATGGATGAAAGTAAACCAACAGCTTGTATATTCTTGGATCTAGCCAAGGCATTCGACACTGTGAGTCACTCGCAGTTGTTGAGTGTCTTGGAGAATATTGGAATTCGCGGAATATCGCACAAATTGATGACAAGTTATCTCAGTGGTAGAAAACAAGTAGTGAGAATAAGAAATACCTTGAGTGAGGAAAAAAATATTGCATACGGAGTTCCCCAGGGAACGGTTCTGGGTCCACTACTATTCTCTCTCTACATAAATTATTTACTCACCACACATCGATCTGGCCAAATCATAAGTTTCGCCGATGACACAGTCATTTTATACACTTCAGAAAATTGGGAAGATCTCAAATCAAAAATGGAAAAGGATATGGAAAACATTATCGATTGGTTCAATCACAAGTATCTTACAATAAATTTCGAGAAAACATTCTTTTTACCATTTGCCAGTTATAAAAATAGCTTACCATATTATACAGAACTAAATATTAGAAACAACCAGAATACAATCACTATCAACTCTACTAACCAAATTGAATATCTAGGTGTAACAATTGATAGCCATTTGCGATGGAATGCGCATGTCGACAGAGTTACGAAAAGCCTTAGATATATATTGCATAAGTTCAAATATCTGAGAACAATACTCAATGAAAAATATTTAAGAATTATATACTATGCACTGGTAGAGTCTCGTCTCCAATATGGAATACTCAGTTGGGGGGGAGTAGCTTACAGTCATCTGAAGAAGTTGGATATACTACAGAAAAAAATACTCAAAATTATGTTGAACAAGAAATTCACTTACCCATCAAATGAACTATTCAAACTTGCACAAGTATTAGATATAAGGCAGCTATACATGTATAGCATATTTATGTATATCTTCAAAAACAAAAGTTGTATCATGAAGTTGAACCATTCTCACTTCACTAGAAATAAAACCAAATCATTTCTTCAGGTCAACAACTCTAGGAAAGCTATTGGTCAGCATTATTTTACCTTTTTATCAGGTCGAATTTTCAACATGCTGGATGACGTCTATAAAATGTACCTAATGAATATAAACTCATTACCAATGGTGAAAAAAATTTTCAAAAATTATATTAAAAATATGGATAGACAAGTTGTGCGAACTATCACGGAACATCAATAATGTCTCAATTTACCTTTTATTCGTTCATTGTATATATATTGTCTACTATTGTTTTAAAAAATTCTATTGTATATTTAGAACAACATAACATCATTTAATACTATTCTTGCTGTTTTGTCTTATGTGTATCTTTTATTCGAGTAATATTGAAACTATAACTTACTGTTATTATTAGAACTATGGTTCATTATTAAATCTTGTCATATTCTGAACATGATTGGAAATAAAAATAAAAATAAAACTGGAAACAGGTTCACAATGAAGTATGCCCATGCTCAACCCTAGGGTTTTATGGGTACCTCAATGTTTATTTGTTGTTAGTGTACATTATTTTTGTGTTGAATTATGTTATTATATTACTAGTTGTTATTATCACTTAGACAAATAAATATTATTATTATTATTATTATTATTATCTTTTTCGCTATACCCCGAGTGTGATGTATCGATGAAATCAACTCTTCAAGGAGAATCTGAAAATGCAATAAAATACAGGGTGTTCAATTCGAAATAACAAAGTAGTTCCTACTTTTCTATTGAAGCGGCAACGTCGTGATTTTGAAAATATATTAGATCGATAGTACCGGTGATGAAATGTGAGATGCGAAATTTTCAGAAAAATCCTGCGTTGCGTTCCTATCATAAACGTGAACGTCTAACCTACCATCGACCGTGAGTCACCCTGTATATAACTGATGAAATGAAAATGGCATCGTAAGACTGACCTCACTCTGAGAGACTGACTGCGCAATTGATTCAGTCAGCTCGCCGTGCGCCGTGCGACTCGTGCGTATCAAGATCAAGTATTATCAAGTAGCTTGATTTCAAGTCAAGTAATAAATATCTCAAATTCAAGTCAAGTCAAGTACGTAATTTGCCACGAGCTTGATTTTCAAGTCAAGTCAAGTAGTTTGTTAAAATATCAAGCTACTTGACTTGATGAATCTCTGCCCACGTCGTCTGGAGTACTGCCAATGGTTCCAGAATACTCTCAAAAATCTCACTAAAATTTTAGGTTTTGGAGATCTGAGAATCCCCACAATTTCATTGAGACTCCATTACAATCTCAAGAAATTGGGGTGTGGTTAGCAGTTTCTCGTAGGCGAATATTTGGACCGATTTTCTTCGATGGCACTATCAATGGTGAAAGGTACCGACAAGTGATGTTAGAACCATTCATCAATCATGTTGACGATGAAGAAATTCGAGTTAGCTATTTTCAGCAAGATGGGGCCACTGCCCACACCACACGTGCAAATTTAGAATATTTACAAGAATTTTATGACAACCGTGTGATAAGTCAAGGATTTAATTCTTCTTTTCCAACACGTTCTCCAGATTTGACGCCTTTGGATTTCTGGCTTTTTGAATATTTTAAAGACGAAGTATTCAAGAGAGACAATAATAACCTTGAAGAGCTGCAAGCCTCAATAACATATTGCTGCCAAAATATTGGCCCGGAAATGCTGAGGAACATTTTCGACAACAAACGGCGAAGAGTTTTGAAATGCTTGGAGAACAACGGATAACATTTTGAACATTTGATGTGGGTTGATGAAATAAACCGTTATTTATTACTTCTTTAATAAATATTCTTGACTTGTTCCATTATTTTTCAAACTCCAATATTGGACTCCCCTTTCTTTGAGATACATGTCCTTGTGTATGCAAAACGATATAAAAAAAGATCCTGTATATGATCACTTCCTCTCTTTTTGGTCGTTAAATGTTAGAAAGCGGCAAATGGAAAAAAATGTCAACAACCACTACGATGTTACGATCATTTATAGAGACCCTGTACATCTAGCACCTTCCTTTCATATTGAATTGATGGAAAAATATTTCCTGAATACAACAGTTATTGTGACAAAAGTCTGTATCTCAATCAGAATCTTGTTTTCCATCAGGGAAGTTATTGTTGTGTTTCTATAGTTTGATGAAGTGGGTTTGGTGTTTGACCCAAATATACTCAAAGCTCAACAATCACATTCATGTA